TCTTTGTGTGTTGTACTCCAAAATACTTTGACTTCCACATTCATCAAAATGAGAGATATCATAAGAATTTTAATCAGCTACAAAATTCTTTTCCCCTTTTAAAAAATAGCATTCATAATTGTGTTTTCTCTATTTGTGGAAGGATTTTAATTTTTCTTCTATTTAAAATAAAATGATATGCTTTCATATCTATCAGTTATATAGAGGAGTATATTTTAACAATGGGAATCTTTCAAGATTTTTTTTTTATCAAGTTGCAAGTTAGGGTCAGATTAATACGTTTTTTCTTAAAAGGTTCTGTTTGACAGGACCTAAGGATTATTGTGCTACTTATTGTTAATATCCATGTGTAAACTGTTGAACAGAACAGTTAATATGACATGTGTTTCAATTGCTTTTTCTCCTGGACTAATAGATGTTGGTTTACTCTTTTTGAAGAGAAAGAGAAACATTAGAAACTGGTTTTGTAAAAGCTGAATGTTTCCCCTTTTGATGTCTTATGTGAAGAAAAAAGGAAAAAATATGTATATAATTTAGAGTTAGATACAGTATAGGCAGTAACACACTTTCCATTTTTTAAAGTTGCAAATTAGACATTTAAAAATCTGAATAAGCAATTTGTAAACTGATGATAACTGATAATAGCTTTGGTTAACATCTTCTGGGAAGCATCATATGTCCTGGGGCAAGTCATTTAAATTCCCTGGGCCTCAATTTTCTAATCTGTAAAATGAGATAGTTGTACTAGATGACCTCTGAGTGTACTTCGCCAGCTTTAAATTTATGATCCTATGGTAGTTTTTTAAGCCTTACTACCTAAAAATGTTCTTGGATGGACCCAAGAGGATCTGTTCTGTGCAGAGAGCGGGGCAGTTTCCAGCACTTTTCCCTACCAACCCTCTCCCCTCTCATCACTCTTTTTTCTTTTCTAAATTCAACACGTTGGCATAAAAAATTGTGATATTGCTCCAATAAAGAAAATATTAATACTGAATTAGTACTTTTTAAAAAGAATCCATTTTACATGGGATTTTTAAAAAATCCTACTTGTTACATTTTCTTTGAGTTCTATTTTTCTAGTATAAAACAGAATGAATTAACACTTAATAGCAGGTGGTCTCTAATAACGAGTATTGAGAGGTTAAGAAGGAAAAAAATTAGAGAAAGAAAATGACTGCATCAGTAGATTTCCGTGTACAGTTTTGAGAATCTAGCGGTGAGATCCTTTTCATAGGTCTGATTTGCAGAATGATCTATAAAGTCAATGGTTAGAAGGAAGGTAGAAGTTAATTGACACTTATTTCCAATATTGTTTGACCTCAAACACATTTAGTGTGTGTGTGTGTGTGTATGTGTGTGTGTGTGTGTATGTGTAAACTCAAGTCAATTATTGACTAACTGGATTTTTTATAAATCTGGAACCCATTTGAAGGTATTATATTACAGTTATTATTATATTACATTTATCATTCCTAAATCCAATCTTTATCCTAAATATAAGCACGTGTTATTTACATAATTTTTAACAGCAATTATAGGAATGTATACTACTTCAAAATAATATAATCTTAACATAAAGGAAATAAAGCTAGGATTTTACAAGTTATGTATTTTGTAATACAGTCTTAAATGTTTTTAGATGTATTTAGGTTCTGTTTCTATATTCTATGTAAGAAACTTTGACTTTAAGAAATATCTCATTGTGGAGAGAGAATATTTAACAAGTCATCGTAGCAGTCACTTTTTGCCTTCTTTTAAAAAAATGTTATACAATGGGAGAAGAAATATTAAATGACTTCCTGTTATAGCAGAAGATGATCACTATTTAGTAGTACAGCAGTTCACCAGGAAATTAGGTGAAGGTTAACATCAATATAAATTAAAGCTTCAGGATTAGGTATGGCAGCAGCTACATTCTCTGTAGTGTCAAGACCCATGCTTGTACTTTGGAATTCCTAATATTAGTAGCAGGCTGTTTGATTTAAAAGTGATATTTTTGTCTAATACAGTGATATACACCATGTAGAAGTATACCAAATTCTAAGCTTGTAGAATAAATCTTGTTTTGAATTAGTACAGCACACAAAAGCTCAACGTGATAGCAAGATAATGGTTCCTAAGCTTTCAGTGTTTCAAAATACTACGCACAACAGAGAATCTCTTCCCTTAGGTCTTTCTTTCTGATACCAGGGAATTCTAACATGTACTTGTTTATTTTATCATAATTCTGTATTTGGAACTAGAGAAAATTCAGGGCTTTCCATAGAAATAAAGGTAGAGCCACTTGGGCAAGCTAGCTTAAAATATTAATGTGTTCCCACTGGGATTCATTGTGGTGCTTCAGTGGTACCAGAAGTGCCCCCTTCTATTATTAGTCCAGTGAAACCAGCTGCTGGTTCTAAACTGCCGCTTTGAGTATTTCAGTACTGTGCAATAATACTTGAGCTTAAAATATTTTTCGGAATTTAAATTTAAACATTAATACATACATTTTTATATAAAGAACCAAAAAAGGATTGTTTGTGAAACTGTGAAGCCCTGTTACGTATGTCTTTTTTAGAATATATTAAATTTAACATAATAGTTCCAACTGTGCCCTCATATCAATTTCTTTCTGTTCTCTTCGGTGTATTTTTTCAGTAGTAAGAGGTGTTAGGCATATTTCATTATTGATCTTCTAGCATTATAGTTGATATTACATAGATCAGTTACATTGATCAGAGTTCTTAAGTCTTTCCTTTATATTACTCTAGTCATTATATAATTAGTCTCCTAGTCCTACTTACTTTACATCAGCTTACATGTCTTCCTATGTTTCTCTGACTCATCTGTTTCGTCATTTTTCATGGTATGATGACATTCCATTACATTTAGATACTGTAATTTGTTCGGCAATTCTTTAATTGATAGGCATTTACTTTTTTTCCAGTTCTTTGAAACAACAAAAAGTACTATTTGTGTACGTGTGGCTCCTTCTGTCTCTAATGTTGAGGAACATAGGCCTAGCAATGGTATTACTGGTTATGCACAGTTTAGTGACTAGGGGTAGATTCCAAATTGTCTTCCAGAATGGCTGGGCCAATTCACAGTTCCACCAGTAGTTTATTTATATGCCTGACTTCCCAAAGCTTCATCAACAATTTACATTTTTTTCCTTTTTTCTCATCTTTGCCAGTTCGATGGGTATTTAGTAGAACCTCATAGTTGTTTAAAATTGCATTTCTTCTATTAATAGTGATTAGCAGTTTTAATATGTTTGTTTTAATATTGTTTTCTAGCACTTAGCACAGTGCCTGCCACTTAGTAGGCACGTAATAAATGTTTGATAACTTGCATTTCTTCATTTGAAAACTGCCTGTTCATGTCTTCTGACCATTTATTGGGTAATGTCTCTTATTCTTATATATTTCTACCAGTTCTCTAGATATCTTGAATATCAAGATAAAAACATGTTCATGCCTGTGCTTAAGAAAGTAAATTTTTAGCCTTGAATTTACTAAAGTGACTTATAGTATAGGCGACTGGGGGAAGAGTTAAATTGTACAATTAGAATCTTCTAAAATCTAGGTTGAATTTTAGTGGATTAAATTACCACAGCCAGGAATTTTATAGAGATAAATTAACTTACCACTGCAAGTTATGGCCAAGGCCATTGAAAGAGGCCATTAAGAGAGACAGCATAGAGTGTTGGTTTTGCAGCCCAAGGTTTGCATCATCTATCACTTACTAGCTATATGACCTTGGGCAAGTCACCTAGATTTTCTAGGCCTTAGTCCTCTCACCTTTAAAGGGAGGGATTTGGACTAGATAATCTCTAAATCCAGCTCTAAATTTGTGATTTTACGTAGCTCACTTTTGTATTGTGTTTATTTTTATACTTTTATACCTGGGCGTCAGAAGTTCATGATCATTCATCCAATTGAGGCTGTCAGGGCAAAGGGATAAAAAACAGTCTAACATTGTCATTGCTTTGAGAGGGGTAGTTGGGGAAGTAGAACATAAACATAAGAACAAATAATAAATAGCACAAGGCAATAACAAATTAAGTGTCTGAGAGAGGTATACAAAGTAAATGATGGCCAGCTAGGTTGCACAGTGGATAGTGTGCTAGATTTAATGTCAGGGAACTTGAGTTCAAATTATTCTTTAGATATTTACTAGCTGTATGATCATGGACAGATCCCTTAATCTTTCTTAGCTTCAGACTTCTCATCTATAAAATCACACTTCATATTTGTTGTAAGGTTCTTGAGATAACATATGTTAAGAGGTTTCTAAAACTTAAAGATTTAGAACTCTAAAACTTATAGGTCATTATGTAGAGAAAATAGCTTTAGTAAAGGTAAGAGAGTCCTGATTTTTCTTATATATATAAAATGTGGAGTTTTTACTGGTTGATCTCTATAGATTTTTTTTAATGTTATTAGGATAAAGCCCACTCTGTTGACATTAAAAACTTGTAGTAGTGTAGTCTTGTGTATAAATTAAAATTATAGTGAGCCCTGAGTGTTTCATGTATACCTATTTTCTCTGCCTTTTTGTCCTTTCCTACATTTATGTCTTAATGCACCTGCTACAAACCTACTCTGATGTCCCATGACAGCATTCATTCTCCAAAACTATTCAAGCAGATTCCAGACTCTGAATGACTTTGCTAAACGTGAAAGGAGCCTCAGACATGAAATAGTGATAGATTATCCAAAGATCCACCAATCTGCCTAAGAACAGAGGCATTCCTCACCATGGGGACCACAGAGTTGTAAAAAGATTGTGGTCTGCATTGGTAGTTAGAGAACCCACACTGGTAATATTGTGTATCCTTGAACTATATTGTCAAGAAGAAGAATTTTTGAAGGTTTTTTTTTAAATAACTGTAATATACAGGCCTTTTTGTTTTATTTTGGAAGAAGGAAAGAAATAAACATTCATTGACACCTACTGTGTGCCAGGCAGTGGGCTAAGTGCATTACAAATGTTAACTTACTTGATCCTCACAAATACCCTGCAAGATGGGTGCTGTTATTATTCTCATTTTACAGTTGAGGAAATTGAGGCACCCTCATTAAACAGCTTTTTGAGGATCACTTAGCTATGTATTTGAGGCCTAATTTGAACTCAAATCTTCCTAACTCTAGGTCTAGCACTCTCAAGAGACCATAGAGCTCATCTAGTCTAACTATAGTGTTTTGGAGATCAGGGACCCAAGGTGAGAGAGATGAAGTGATTTGCCCATACAACTCATTAGTGACAGAATTGGGACTCAAACTTAGTTCTTAGTCCTAGTCTACTACTCTTAACATATTAAATATAGATATTCATAATAATGAGCCCTGAGGAGTCATTGGATAAAAGAGTTTGAGAATCAATCCTGCTATGCCAAATTCTACGTATTCTCTTATTTTTTTTTCAAGGGATAGGTAGAGTTTTGAAGCATTTTGAGAATTACTGTTGCCATACCTCCTTTAATGTTCTGTAAAGAAATGTGGCATTTATTCAGAAAGAGAGAGTAAATAGTAATAGTCTAGACTTCAGAACCAATATTAACAAAAGTTTTGGAAAATGTGTAGATGGCTGAAGATACATTGCAGGTCTAGAGTTCACAAGAGAGATCTGGGCTGGATATAAAGATTTGCATAATCTGCATAGAGTTGGTATTGGAAGTCGTGGGAATGAGTGCAGTTGTTAAGGGAAAGAGTAGAAAAGAGAGTCAGAGAGAGAACTTTGGGGAACACCCATTTGAAGAGATTGGGAAGTGAGTGTGTTTAGAAAGATAGGAAGCATTCTTAATGTCTCTTAAGTCAAAGGAGAAGAAAATACTCAAAGGAAGTCATCAATAATGTTATTGTTTCAGAGATGTCAAGGAAGATAAGGACTAAAAGAATCTATATCAGTTAATGAATTTAGATCTGAAAAGGGATCTTAGGGTCATCTGGTTCAACTCCCTCATTTCACAGACATAGAAACTGAAACTCAGAGTTTTCTCTTGATGACACAGGTAGTAGGGTGGTAGAGTTCAGATTTGAATCTAGGTATTCTGACTTCAAATTCAACACTCTTTACCTTGTACCATATATCAAATAGATATTAGGGGGTCTCTGGTTACTTTTGGAAGGTTCAGATAGAACAGAATAGTAAGGACAGAAGTCAGCTTGGAATATCTTGAGGCTGGGTTGGCTACAAACAGACCATGTATAGACTTGCTTAAAAAGTTTGCTGTAAAAGTTGGCAAGGACATCTTCTTGTCATAGACAGTCATACTCAAAGACTAACTTCAGTTAGTTTTATGAAATATAACGTCTAACCCCTGGTGGGTTGGTTGGACCAATGACTCTAGCAGGATGTTACCTGAGTAGGTGGACTTCTGTTGGGTGGACTGGAATTTCTTACAGGTAAATTAGTACCAGGGAAACTTATTGCTATTAAGCCAACTCCCAGTTCCCTCTTTTTTCAAAATAATACAGCTGTACAAATTAATGTTAAAATTGCTTTTCAGCTCTCAAAATTCTGAGGCTAGGGGCTATTTATCTTTCTACTGCTAACACTTCTTACTTTTGGCTAGGTTTCTCTCTTCTCCATCCCACTGCAACAGCATGTCTTGCCATTCACTCTTGTTGTGTTGTCCATGAAATAAACACATACCCCTTATTGAAGTTTTCTAATGAGTTTTACTGTTGGGGAAAATGGTGGGCTGGGGTAGGAAGGTTGAGAATATCTCCGTCTGACAGAAGGGAATTATCCCTTCTCTTCTCCTACCCCACCACTTCTCTTTTTTTCACTTAAAGGTATAAACCCTGTGGGGAAATACAGAAAGCCAGTTCATCTCTTGGAATAGGCTACTTCAGGAATTCACTTCAGTTTTACACTTTCGTGTACCAGGCTTTGTGCTAGGCTCTTGGATATAAAGGCAAAAACCAAACAGTCTCTGCCCTCAAGGAACTTCTGTTCTAGAGGAGGAGCTACTACCAGAGGTAAGTGGCGGTCCCTTTTATTGATAGTCTTCAAACTCAAGCCAAATGACCATTTGTCAGGGATGTTTAGAGGGAATATCTGTTTATTTATGAGTTGAGCTGGATGACCTCAGAAGTTCCTTCCAGTTTGTTTGTAGGATTCCAAATATAGATTCTTTCTAACTTGCAGTACTGTCCAGAATTTTTTCCTCTGTTCATCTGTATGCCTTTTCTCTCATTGAGTTGTATTATTGAAATACAGTAATTATATCATTTATTAATGATTGATACCATCAAGTAACCAGTAGAACTTAAGGGCCTTGAGGGAAGTGGACTTTTTCATCCTTGTCTGAGTAACCTGATCACCTAGCAGAGTTTTACTTATACTAGATACTCAATAAATATTTGAATTGAATGTTTTTGGAAGTACAACATCTCAACAGCCATCTAATTCAACTTGTACCTGAACAAGAATCCCCTGTATAATATACCTGGCAATGGGGCAACCTATTCAGTTTTTTGAAAGCTTGAATTGTTAGGAATTTCCTCCCCCTACATCTAGCCTATAATTTGCTGTTTTGTAGCTGCCACCCATTGCTCCTTGTTCTAACCCCTGGATTCAGTAAAATAAATCTAAGCCCTCTACCATATTAGAGCCCTTCAAATATTTGAAGGCTGCTGTTATATGTCCCCTAAGCTTACTCTTCTCCAGGTCATATGTCCCCATTTCCTTCACCTAATTCTCACATGATCTAATCTTTTATAATTTTTTTTAAAATTCTGAACTCAAAACACCAAATAAAATGAGCATGTCCATATATAAATTAGAAAAGAGGATTATATGTGAAACTGTGAATCTCTTATGTAACACCTTCCTTTGCCTTTTAAATATTTAATAAATTTAACATGCAGTGTTTAAAATTGCCTTGACTATTTCCTATTGGCCTTCTTTCTGTTGTTGTTGTGTGTGTGTGTGTGTGTGTGAGAGAGAGAGAGAGAGAGAGAGAGAGAGAGAGAGAGAGAGATTGAGGCAAAATCTTCTATTGAGAGGGTTAGGGAAGGGGTACCATGGGAAGCGTGAAGAGATGTAAGATTAGAATAACTACTATGAAGAGTATAGCAGTTCACCTAGGAAAGAAAGAGAATATTTGCCCTGTTACAGTGAGGGTCCAGTTGAGCTTAGATAGCGTAAATTTGAAGTGGTCCCCCGGCATTATGAGTTTATGTTTTCCTCCTCCATCTACCAGTATGTGAATAAAACAAAGGAGGCAGATGTTGGGAGTAACCCAGAGTTTGGGTATAGCAAACCTTGATGGATAACAAGATACAAGGACAAGAGAGCCAGGAATCACTGAATCTAATAGATTTGCTCTAGTTCCTTATTTTAACTTTGTTAATCTTTGTTTAAACTGTCTCATAAATAAAATAATTGTTGTATTATTTCTCTTCCATTCTCTTTATCTTCTGTTCTATGGACAAGTTTTATCTTACATTTGTGGTTGTAATTGTTAGTGGTTTATTTCCCTTTGTTTCCCCCCCCATCCCTTTCTTAACAGGCTCTTTGTGATCCTATATGGGAGTGGTTTGCCATTTGCTTCTCCAGTAGACTAAGGCACACAGAGGTTAAGTGACTTGCCCAGGGTCACACAGCTAGTGAGTGTCTGAGGCCAGATTTGAACTCTGGTTTTCCTGACTCCAGGCCTAGCACGCAATCCACTGAATCATCTAGCTACCTCCCCACCTTACATACCCCCCACCTATTTGGCAGTTTAATATATTTCCATACCAAAGTCTTTGTGTCTGTGTGTTCAACCTTCCTTTGACCAGTTTAAATTGAGATTCACGTGATGCCTGTTCCCCTCTTCCCACCACACCTTCCTCCAAGTGTATTCAGTCTGCATCTCATATAGTTAAGTGAAACAGTAAGTTCCTTCTCCTTTCTCTTACTTTCTTCTCTAATATATTCCCTGTTCCCTCCCTTTTCTTAAGATTGTCAAAACCAAACCATCCCATGTGGTTTGTCTTATTTAATTCTTTCTGTGACCACTTGAAGACTTTAGAGCTTTAAAGAAACACTTACTTCTTCTTTCACTATTAGAATGTAAGTACTTCATCGTCCTATAGCCTCTTCCAAGTATGCAAATGTATTTACCTTTTTAGTTAGTTTTTTTTTCTTCTTTAACTCCTGTGTTTACATTTCAGAGTTTCTACTCAGCTCTTGCCTTTTCATCAAGAAGGCTTGAAAGGGCTCTATTCCGTTAAAGAACTTTTTTTTTCTTCCTCCCTGAAACATTATACTTCTTTTTGCAGACTATATTGTTACTGGGTTGAAAGTATTTATCTTTTGCCTTTTGGACTATCATATGCTAAGATCACCTGTTCTTTCTAGTGGTAGCTGACAAGTCTTGTGTGATTCTGACTGCAATTCGTTGATAGTTGAATTACTGCTTTCTTTTCTGAGTCTTTGCCGTGTTTGTTTTGTTGTGTTTTTGTTTCTCTTTCTGTGTCCTGGAAAGATGTGGATTTTGTCTGTGACATTCTTAATTTTCATTTTGGAGTTTCTTTCAGGAGATGACAGAGTCTTTCTATCTTCACTTTATCCTCTAATAGAGCTAGGCAGTTTCTTTTATGATTGTGTACAGTATGGTGTCCAGGTTTTTTATTTGGTCATGGTTATCATAGTGACTGATAATTCTTAAATTGTCTTTCTTTGACTTTCTATGCCTGCTTTTTTAATAATAGATATCTTACATATTCTATTTTTTTGGCCTTCCCCCCCCTCCCCAGAATTTCTTGCTGTATCATGGAGTCATTGAGTTCTTATTACTCTTCCTTTTTTTTTTTTAGACAACGTTCTACTTGTGTAAGGTTTTCTACCTTTTGGTCTAAGGTATTTATTCTAATTCCAGGTTTTCCTCTCTATAGTTTATATTTCTTTTATAATCTCTTAACTTCTTGCAAGTACTCATGTAATCCTTTTCTGAGCCTTTTCTTGTAGCTTTTGTGTTATTGTTCCCCTATAATGTGTTTCCTCTTAGTTGATTCATGACCCGTGAATTTTCTTCATAATTTTGATGTAATGATTAGTCTCAGTTCTTGGTTTAAGATTTAGTTCTAGGGCCAGGTTCCACCCCATCTTGGACTGTTGGAGGAGTGGTCAAGGATCTATTTGATCCTGACCTCACTTTTATGGGTTCTTAATTCTGGTTTCTTCTTCCTTTTGTTTGTCAGGGCTCAGAATGCTGGTAGGCTTCAGTGTTCCTTTTTATAGCACTGTGATTTCCTGTCCATGAGAGTCTAGGTAGTGTTTTATGCTCATAAAGCTTCTTTGATCTCTCTCCTTGATTCTATCTCTTCATGTCCCCGGTGTTCCCTGGGCTAGGACACCGTAGTGGTTTTGTCTCCCTAGGGTTTTCCTGATAAGGGCCAGGGCTTCCAGACTTATATCCTGTTTACCTGATGGCTTCTTTAGTAAGGCCCCACTTTCATTATCTGCAGCTTCTAGTTATTTTTTGTTATTTAGTCTTGGGCTGCATAAAGGAACTTAGGGAAATTTCTTTTAGGGTTTTTTAATTTATTGTTCAGTATGTTCCTCATTTTAGATAATTGGCTCCTGTATCTTTCACATGGCCATCTATGTGGAAATCTTTCTCTCCAGGCTATTCTTCAGCTAGTTCCTTCTCCTCTTTCTGGCTCCCTCGTCTCCCCTCAGCCCTTTCGGTGTTGGAAGTGCAGGTACCTTTACGACCCAATCTCAAATCCTTTTTCGTCCTGTTTGCCCTCTCTTTTTGGTCTTCAATTCATCCATGTCTTTACTAAAATGTGGCATTATATTGTAATTGAATAAAATACTCAGATCCAGGCTTATGAGGGCATAGTGTACAAAAGACTATCAAGTCCCAAGTCTTGTACCCCACTCCTCAGCTTAAAACTGCAACATATTTTTTTGGCTTCCATGTTAAACTGTTGACTCATTGAATTTGTAGTCTGTTGAAACCCCCACATCTTTTTCAGGCAAATTCCTGTTTGGTCATGCCTCCCCAGCTCATACTTAGAAGGTTGATTTTTTTTTTAACTCAAAAGTTAATTAAGTACATTTATGCCTATTAATTTCCATCTTAATTACTATAGGCTAGCACTCTAGCCTAATGAGAGCTTTAAAGGAAGAAAGTAGTGAGGGTATCTTGTGCAGGAAAACCTTGGTTTTGCTTTTAGAAAGCAGCCCCCTTGGTAATTTGAACTACTGGGAAAGGAATCAACATTTAATCACTTTTTTCATTTGCTCAGTTTACTTTCAACTTCTGTATATTATTCTGGAATTGTAGTAAACCCTGGTATGTATCAGAAGACAGAAAAGTTTTGCATAGCTGCAAATAGTATGTTCCTGTCCTCATCAAAGATTATCTGTGTCATTCTTACGCACTGATATTCTCATCTGACAATTTAGATATGATCTGTGGCGCTTGTCAACCCTATTGAAGTATAAATTCTTTGAGGGTACTGATCATGGCTTATTTATCTTTGTATCTCCCCATTACCTAAAACACAATTCATGTGTAAATTGTGGGTGTTTAATTAGTGTTGAAAGGAAGGATTGATTTTTATTCTGATATAATAGTCTTCCTATTATTATATTTTAATCTACATGATTGTATAAAAGTTATATATAACATAAATATACATATTCAATATATTATATTTTTCCAAGGGATAAATGGTTCATTCACTTTATATCACAGCAAACTATTTCTTAACTTATATGTCAGTAAGATCACACATATAAAAATCTGAATTTGTCAAGTGAATAACAATGTCTTGCAAAAAGTGGTGACAGAACATACATAATAATTAAGTTTTATAGAAAGTGAACTTGTAAAAGGTAAATTTTTGTCATGTTCCATCAACATAATTCATAATGATCATATTGAATCCATTGAAATATAATAATTTTAACATTTAATTGAAATTGACAACTTATATCTTACTCTAGTTATCCATCTGTCAGATCTGGTATCACACCATTCTTAAACATTTCCCAATTGCTAAAGGAATTGCCTTAATCTTAAATTTGTAATTAACAGTGAGAAAGCTCAGGTTAAAGTTTAGTAAAGGTTTATTAATTCCTACTGATGGTTTTGAGATTTTTAAAAGGAATTTTGAGGGGAGGCAGAAGAAGAAGAATGCTGGAATACAACCTTGCCCTGAAAATAGGGAACTTGCCAGTTTGATGAATTTATCAGATTTGTTGATGAGTGAAACTCTGCTTTTGTGTGTGTGTGTGTGTGTGTGTGTGTGTGTGTGTGTGTTGTAGAAATATCTTGCCTGAAATATGATAGTCTTTCCCCTTCCCTCATACTAAGTATCTGGAAAAAGTTGACATTAAATTTCATGGAAACTTATGCAAACCAACTTCTTTGCTTCAGTAGAGTTTGGGAATTTCTAGGGGTTGGCATAAATTCAGAAGAGACTTAATTTTTTAAAAAGTTTAATTACAATTTTAAAAAACTGAAGGGTGATATTTAGCTAAAGTATTGCATGTTATATAGAGGACATTTAAGTAAAGCATTTAACTGAGTTTAATTTCAGTTCTTAATGAAAAGATTCTTCGGTTGAAATTTAATTATTAATACATGTAAGTTGCAGTGAATTCTAGGACAGATTAATAGTGAATAGAGAAAATAAAAACAAATTCTTCAGTCCTCCTACCTCAACTATTTTTCTTCTTTCACTTAAACTCTTTGGGGAAAAGATAAAGCCAATGAGAGCCATCAGAGAGTGGGCTCCTTCACTGACAGTCTTCAAATGCAAGTTGGATGACCAGTTATGAGAATGCTAGATAGAGAATGAATTTCTTTTGATGTATGGGTTTGACTAGGTGGCCTGAACTGTCTCTGAGATTTAACATATTCAGTACCTACTACATTCATTGATATATGGTCCAAAAAGTACAGGAGGGTAGATGGGTAGATATTTTCTTATGTTTTCAGTATATACAACAGACCAAACAGCAAAAATGGGCAATCTTAATAGTTTCCATTTAATAGAAAGCTTATGTAGTTTCAAAATGTTCAATATGAATAAAATAATACAATTTGATATCATGTATACTTATTATATATGGCAAATATGCATACTGTGGTATCAAATTACATTCTTTAACTCTAAATATTTTTAAATTATGTAGAGCATCTCATGAGTAAATTACCTTTGGTCTTATTTATGGTTTGTCCAAAGCTAGTAAATATCAGACGCTAGCACTTCCTGATATACCATACTTTTTCTCGTCTTTCAGGACACTCCCTAGATAGGTGAATTGACCAGGTTGTGGTAGGATTGTAAGAAGTTCACCACAGGGTGGCTTTGAATAAGAAATATAACTCTAATGGCTTACAGATTAAAGAAATTATTTTTAGTATGTTTTGAAGAGGCTTGCCCTCAGGTGTGTGTTACATGCTTGCCTTGGGGACATAAAAAAATGAAATAGAATGCAGTCTCTGCCTTTTGGAACTTCTATTAGCAGGATGCAAGTGCTGTACCAAGTGCTATTTCAGGTTCTGGGTGATTAAAGTGAGGAGGGCTGAAAACTGACATAGGACAGGCAGGGGTGTGTCAGGGAAGGATTCATTGAGAAGTAGCTCATCCTTTAAAGAATATGTAAGATTTAATCAGGCAGAGATGGAGGGGAGTGTGAGGTTATTGCCAGCATAGGGAACCGTGTGAGTAAAGTTATGGAGATAGAAAATGCTGAATGAGTTCAGAGAAAAGATCACCTGGTAGTAGGGGTAGGGTATAGTGTGAGTTGAATTTGGAAAGATACGGTGATGTCAGATTATGAGGGGCCAACAGAATAATGTATAATCAATCATCAGTCATTTGAAATTTAGGAACATATTTTCCTCAAAGAAACAATCTTTGGAATGATAGTGTTTGGGGTCCTAAACTATCATACATAATCTCTTAATAATGTAACTTAAAAGTGTTTGATCATTATAATGAAAATAATAGAAACTAATATTTTTACATAGTATTAAAATAATCAAGTTGGTAAATATCCATTTATCTTGAATGCTGGTACTTGGAAAAAAGATTCCTTTCAATGGAATATATTGCACTATGAATGGTAAAAATAGGAAAAAGAGCATAATATATGCACAATTTATTTGAGAATTAAAAATATATTAAGTGAGATGGTGGCTGCTGTCAGTCCAAGACATTTTGGTTTCTGTACAGAGATGCATATGGAAAAAGTAGCGATTTAAAAATAAGTGCTAAAATGAACCTCAGAAATAAATTTACAGTCAAATCACATTGTCAGTGACTTGATCAAAGTGGGTCATGATAGAGCCTGGACTAGAATCAGACATAGGTCAGTTGTTTGTGTTTTAATTTGGGCAATGTCTATATCATTGTGTTCACAAGCGTATTAAAAAAAAGTCTTATTTAATAGCTTTATAAAGGGTCAAGGAAGTCTCTTGGATTTTTAATTATGTGAATGGTAAAGAATTTGTCTGTTTTATGCTCTTGAGGTCATGGGCTCTCAGAGCCGAAAGGGGCTTTACTCAAAAGTTTTACAGATGAGGAAACTGAAGCCTTAGAAAAATGTGATTTGTCCACAGTTACATAGCTGGTTAGTTAATGGAACCAAGGTTGGAACTCCATTCCCTTAACTTTTTCCACTTCCATAATGGAAATAATCCTTACTTTGTGAAGGCATTGTTTCCTGAGTTGATTTCTAAGCTGGCTTATTTTGAACTCGAGTGTTTCCTTAGAAACAATGTTATAGTTAAGTTCCCAAGTTGTCTGAGCCCATAAGGTTAGAATATAAGACTAAAGGGGTAATAAAGACTGTTTCAACTGCATCTAACCCCTGAATATAGAATTGTCTCTATGGGAAAATTCATTGATTTCCAATTCTAGATACATGAATAAATACATCTCCCCTTGCTATAAGTAGAAGTTTCTTCTGTGCATAAATGTGATATGTTGTGCTAGAATTTGAAGTCTAACTCATAAATACTTTTGTGTTTGTATAGGTGTTTTTTTTCCTTTAAAGAAGATAGTATACTGTAGTGGAAAAAATCACTAGAGAAGCAGAAGGACCTGGGTTCTAGTCTAGGCTTTATCACTAGACTCACTTTGATCAGGTCACTGAAAGTGTGATTTGATTGTAAAATTATCTCTGAGGTTAATTTTAGCACCAATTTTTTTTTGTCTTAGGAACCCCTTTTTGCTATGAAAACTTAAAGCATAGAAAAGTGACTTGCTTAGAATCACACACATTAATTTGGAACTTATGTTTTCCATGTTTGCAGATTAAGCCATAGTGTCTCCAGATGTAAAACCTAAAATAGTTTCTCGACTGTGGGTTAAGGTAGATATCAGGATTGGAGACAGTGTGGTTTTGTGGAGTGCACTGATTTTGGAGTGAAAGGACTCAAGTTCGAATGCTAGTCTTTAACCTTGTCCTTGGGGAAAATCCCTTAGCCTTTGTGGGCCTCAGTTTCTTCCTACTAAAATGGGGGTGTTAGACTAAATGACCTGGAAGGCCGTGGACTTTCAGTTCTAAATTTTGCCTTCAATGCAGGAATTACTGATGATTTTCCTTAGCAGGCTCATGTGTTGCCTAGTATACTGAAGGCAAAGTAATTACACACCAGTGGAAAGAAAATCTTTAGTTTCCTAAAAAGGCTCCTTTCCTGGTCTTTCATGTCTCCAAGAACCTATTGCATACAAATTAATATAGTAACCTATAGCACAATATGATAATCCTTTGAATTTTAATGTCTACTCTATTTGTCCAAGGACAGTATTGCTACTGTTTATGCTCTTTCCCTAAGTCAGGGCTATTCTAAACCATACTTGAACCTGCTGTATTCTTTAATGTTACATTCTGCTTCCTGGGAGAATGGCCAGATTTCCACAGTATGTTGTAGAGGGTGTTGAAATTCTAATGGCATTTCAGGTAGCATAAAATGGTACTACTGTTGGACTCCACAAAGTTGTTCCTTTTTTTTCCTGAACTTTTTATTCCTACAGCAAGGTACTGTTTTCGTTGACTACACACTATTTCAAAGTAGAAGAAGGAGGTGAAAGATCAGTTTGTGTTACCTTTGGATTTTTTTTCTTTGTCAAAGCCATGGCAATCTTGATTGTTACTGAAAACTACCTAGAATTTGGACTTGAAACAGGTAATCAGTGCTTTGAACTATAGATGAATACACACACACACACACACACACACACACAACGCACACACACGTGTATATATGTATATATATGCATATATATAAATTAATTTGTCACCTTCCCCCCCATCTATATTAAAATAACTTTAATGTTTCAGGTGTACTTTTAATTCCTTCATGTTTGAAATGTATATGTCCCATTTTAAAAGGCACAATTTATTTACTATTCATTGTTTTTAAAAAGAATCCAGTCTTCATTGTGCAATATTTGCTTTGTTGATATTATTTGCTTACCTTTCATTTTTAATCCACACCCCGAAACTTTCTTACAGTTAAATGTTTCTGTGATACAAAAAAAATTAAACAAATTCCTGAAGAATTAATGCAAATTTTATTCACGTTCATGGAATGTACAAATATCAAAGGGATGTTTTCAAAGACTGTTCCTGTTAATAACCAAATTTTATTGCATTGTGGCATACTAATTAGCACATGAAAGAGCTAAGCTAGACACTTGAAAATTTAAGATGCTGTTTTTCTAGCATTTTATTTCCAAAGAAAGATTCTGTATTTTGTCCCTGATAAGAATAATCCATTTCTTTTCCTACAGGTTTTACAAATTTTTCAGAAAGTGCGATGCAGTTTCTTGAAAAGCAAGGTTTAGAATCCCAGTAAGTTTTGGAAAATTTTAAGGATAAAATCCAAATATTTTAGCTGAAAATTAAAATTTATATTTTTGGGAAGGAAGCCTCCTTTCTGGTGTCATCTTTGTTGCTTTGCCTGTTTTCTGAAAACTTTATCTTCTAAAAACAGAGAAGTTGCATTATTATTTTTGCCCTTAGACTTTGCATCTATCTACCATTATTAATCTTGTTTACTTGCTTTTGTTTTGGCCTTTCCAAATTCAAACAGTTCTGACTAGAATTCACTTTCTCTGATGTTTTCTCTTAAATGCTTTCTGCCAATGAAAATTTTAACCAAAGTCATAGTTGCCTTTATCACTACCATTATCTTAAATTAGAAGTTTACCTGAATCTGTTGTAAATTTTGTGGTTGTGATTATTAAATGTAGTTTATGGGATAAATTGATAAGAAAAAGGAAATTTATAAAGTCACTTAAGGAAATATTGATGAAGCTTTTCATTTTTTTTAGGGGTCCTGTGTCTAAACTTACTTTCAAATTTTTCCTGGCTATTCTGTGTTCACTTATTGGTGCTTTTTTGACTTTCCCTGGGTTGCGGCTGGCTCAAATGCATCTGGATGCCCTGAATTTGGCAACAGAAAAAATAACACAGTAAGCGGAAAATGTACATAAGCACATGCAGATAAATATATGTTTTTCATCTTAATGCAGGTATATGCAATTTATTGTAATGAAAATTAATAATGAAGTAATCATTTGATCTACTTAGACTGTACTTCGTATTTCTTCTACAAGTTGAACACCCTTTTTACCTTTATTTTTGTTAGTGCAGTGTATTTCAAAAGCTTTTTGCCCTCTCTCTGCCCTTCCAAATACATTTTGTTCTTTGAGATGAATATAAAAGACGCAAATACATATTTGTGCTTTTATTTAAATTGTTAATACTCACAGTGACATGATCACTAAACATTAGTTTGGAGGCGTATGTATTTTACTTTCTTAATCTAAGCACGTGATTTTTTTCTTAACTTTTATGTTCAGCACCAAATACGCTAAAACCTTAGTTAAGAGTACAAGAAATCACTTTTATTGAGGATGTTGATAACATAATTTAAGTTGTTGGTATTCCATAATCTTTTAAAAATATTAATCAAATTATTGCTCTAAATTACACTGTTGCTATTTGGTTTGTGGCCCTGCACTGTTGTGTGTCACTGAACACTTTTTTAGTTTGAGATGTTTTACTGAATTTCTAAAATAGTTCATGAAGCTCATTACGCTCTGCTCTCTGATTATCAATAGATTTTTCTTTAATTCCTCTGGAAAAAAGGTGGCTATTTGTATACAGTTCCATTTATATATGGGTCCAAGTTTCCTTCTAGTCTTCTTTTTTTCCTGCAGTGGAAGCCCAAAGTTGAAAATGTTCCATTTGATCTATTTATTTACAATCATTAGGATCCTCTGAGTAATTCATATTTCCTAACATTCCTCATCTGTAACACCCTGTATTTAATGATGGTGCTTCTTTACAGTCTTTTCTTAGGGAGATGAGCATTCATATCTCTTTTACCTGTGTCATTTTCCTTTATTTAATTTTGACAGTCCTTTTGTTTTGTTTCTCCCACCTCCACTTTTCTGCATATGCTTTGTGTGTGGGTGTACTTATTCCCACCTCCCACCACACACCCCTTCATCCCCTTTTATTTCCTCCTTTTACTCAGCATGCTCTTGGCTACATCCTGCCTTTCTCCCACCACCCGTCTCTCTAATGGCTTCTTTTAAGAAAAAACCTGATTCTCCCCCTCCACTCTACACACACACTTCAGTCCACTAACCCCAGCGTTATGATTTAAATAAGCTGAAAAGGGTGGGTGGAGGGGAGCCCTTCACAAGCTACTGAAACTGCTGTGGGCTGCTCCTTGATACTATAGTGTTCCCTAGCAACACTGCATACCTAATACTGCCTCTTTCTTTGGCTAAGCCCACTGCCTTACTCAGACTGCTGGATGAAAGAACACTTCATAAAAATATTTAAGCATTTATTATTTTTTGTGGACATTTTAGTGGCCCTTGGAATTAAATGTGGTTTTGTAAAGATCCTGCTTTTGGGTGCTTGGGAATTTTTTTTGGGGGGAGGAGGGGCTTTTGGTTTGCTGCAGCCCTTTCCCGAACACCCCCACCCCCCATTGTGTTACAGCACTCTGCCTAGATATAAGGGGTGTGGGCATGCTAGCCTGGCTTTGAGAGGAGCGTGACTGGCACAAAGACGTTGTTACCCTCATGGCGGGCATTGGCTTTTACTAGGCTTAGAAGGCTATGGCCAAACTTTTACCTTTTTACTGTCAGGTGTTCATGGTTTCTTAACTCAGACACTGTTCCCCACACAATTGATTATCATTTTCAGATACAGTGATATTAGAGCCACCCCTTTTAATTTTAAAAATGGTTCTTTGAACCCCCTCAATTTTAGCCATTCAGGGTAGTTGACAATAAAACCAGTACCTGTAAAATAATAGAACTGTTCTAAAGAATTTGCCTTTGTTCTGAAATAACAAAAAAATCTTTTCCAACCATCTGTCCCTATGGGATAAAAATTCTGAGTACAATTAACAATGAAGTTACAGCTATGAACTGAAACCCTTTGCTGTATTGGGAATATTGCCTTGTCAGAAATGAAATAAATTTCCTTGATTTGTATAGGATATGAAAATTAATTTCAGGTATGTTTTTAATGATCCAAGAAGAAATGAAAATTTGTGAATCACATATGATTTTGATAATGTGATTTAAAGTTTTTACATGACCATTATATACTGAAGGGATTCTAATTTAAACAGTGTTTCACTCTGGTTTGTCTGCCATATGCCTTATAGAATAGTATTATGGACCTCTCTACTCACTCCACTTAAATGGATATAACTTTCTCCTCTATAATGAGAAGACACGTTCTTTTAGCTGCATCAAGTGTAAAAAACTGACTTCTGTACATCTCAGAATTCACTGGGGTCATTGAACACTTGATTCAAAGAACTGCTCATGGAGCTTTTCATTGAATCTGAGAGCAAGGATAGCAGGAAGGGGGGTGGTGGAAAGAGTATAAGACCAAGAGACTGGGGTGTTCTCAGCCCAGTTCTGCCCCTGAGCAGCCGTGTGACCTTCGCTGTCTATCCTTTCTGAATTTCAGTTCCCTAAGCATGTAGTGATGATAAGGCCTTCCATATTTCTCTCACAAAATTATTGTGAAGATCAAATGAAATCAGGTGTTAACACATTCTGGGGAAAAATAAAGCAATGTATATAGCATGGTGGTGGTGGTATTAGTATTAGTGGAGTCCAGAGTATCAGCAATAAATTCTCAACTTCAATCTGACTCAAGTTTTCCATAGGTTATTAGCAGCATTTGTTCTCTTTCTGTATTCATGATAATTTTTTATGTGCTTTCAGAACATTACTTCACATAAACTTCTTGGCACCCTTATTTATGGTTCTGCTGTGGGTAAAGCCAATCACCAAAGACTACATTATGAACCCAACTTTGGGTAAAGAAAGTGTTCCTTTGTAAGTAACATTCTTTTTCGTATTTTAAAATAATCATTCATAAGATTTTCTGATTGATTTTGTTCAGTTGCATATTTTGTATAATAAAATACTATTTTTGACCTATTATCATTGAAATGCTATTTTAATGAAAATTATTAGAAAAATTTACTTTAACAAAAAAGATAATAGTCAAGAAAAATGTTATTTAAAAGGTTTGCATAATTGATATTTCACTTAGTGAAGGTAAACATAGGTCATTTGATGTGGCATATAGGTCATTGTGATTAAAGTCACAAACTATTAGATTTCATTGGTCCCAAATTTAGTGTTCTTGCAATGTGAAAAAAAAAATAGCACCATTATCCAGCCATAGCAGGTTCTTAAATTAAGGAATTTGGAGTGAAATAATATAATTTAAAACTGCTTGCAATGTGACTAGAGCACATAGATACTGGATCAGTAAGACCATATTATGACTATACTTCCCTTAGGTTTAGGTTTTGTCCTGGAAATACATTATAGATGATTAGAGTTGTTTTTGTTTTTAATAGCATCTGTGTTATTTAAAGTTAAAACAGTACTTTTTTTAATTATCCAGTTTTACTATAGCTTCATTGGTCGTTTTAAAAACTCAGGTGCCAGGTGCATTACCATTTGCATTGCTTGTCTGTAAAGTGAAAAGGTTGGAGTAGATGACTTGTGAGGGCCCATTTAGGTTTAGATTCTGTGTCCTAAGGCCAGAGGAAATCTTAAACTCTATGTGGGAAGGTACTATGTCTCATCTAAACTTTGTGCCTAGTGAGGTACTCTGTATGCAATGGGCTCTTAGGAGATATTTCCTTAATGAATGATCTTGTTCCTAATTCAGAATTTTCCATTCTTGTTTGTAACTTGGTCATTGGAGTTGAAATTATCCAATCTTCTCCAATCAGTTTCTCCAAGTTCTAGTGAAAGGAGATGGGAGAAGGGTAGTAGAATGTTGATTTTCTCTTCAACTGTGTATTTAAATTGTAAGAAGGACAGTATCACAGCAGAAGATATGGGATCTTTCCTTTTATCTCTTTCTCAGCCTCTACATCCATCTCATTGTTTCTTGACCCAAGCTTCCCAAACATTGCAAGTGAAACTAAACTCTCACCTCTGTTCCACCCTTGATTGACTTTCTCCAACTGTCAGACAGTTCCATTAAGGAATTAGACAGAGACAGTAAGGTTTATTTAAAATTCACAGCCCACATGGTAGATTGTGAAAGGACCCAGGCAGGCAGCCTATCAATCAGGATTGCAGGGTGGTAGAAGAAGTGACAGATTCCTCTTCTGTCATATAGGCACAATAATTTCTAGGAAGTCCTTTGTTTGCAATTAAGAACAAAATTGGTTGTAATATAGATTCAAGCCTGAAATGGATTCAAATATTTATGTATTCGTTTGGTAGCAATATTAGTTATTTAAGTAAACCAAGTCCATATACCTATATGAAGAAATCCAGAAGGCGGTACTGCGACAAAAAAAAACGCCACTGTACAAACACATACCTATGTGTATATGTGAGTATTGTTTGTGTTTATATGCATACATGTCACACACATACATATATGTATGGATGGATATAAAAGTGTCTATTCTAAATACTTCCTGCCAAGTTCTCAGGAATGATTGATAGAGGATTGCTTTGCCTTAATTCACTATACCTCTCCATCCTACACCTAGCTAGGGCTCTTGAGATCTAGTGCAGAATCAATTTAAGCTGCTTACTAAATATTTGTTAGTAATAGTTAAGCAGCATGATACAGTAGGAAAGAGAATTAGATTTGGCATCAGAGTACCTGGGTTCATGACTTAGCTCTGCCACGTAGTACCTGTATACATTTAGGCAAGTTCCTTAATCACTGTGCCCTCAGTTCCCTCATCTATAAAATGAAGGAGATTAGACTAGGTGATCTCTGAAGACAGCGTAGCTCCAAACCCCAGGAGACTATATAATACTGTACCATCTCATTTGATCCTCTTCTAAACCAGTGCTGTTAAACTTAAGTAGAAATGGATCCCTGCTGGCCCATATGTTGACTTAGAAAATCACAAGTTGACATTATCTGTGTTGTTATCTATGTATTGTATTTTTATTTATTTTGTTAAACATGTTAATCTGATAGGGCCTCAGGGGCTTGTGAGTCTAGCCTCCTGTTTGATACCTCTGCTGTAAACAACCCTATCAGGTAAATTATGCAAATACTCTTATCCTCATTTTACTGATTAGCAAAGTGGACTCTTAAAAGAGATATATAAGTGGCCGAAGGGCTGTGAACCCAGATCTGCCTTCCAAATCCAGTTCTCTTTTCCACTGTATCATGCTACTACCTTAGTGGATGATTCGCTCTGGGTCCACATTTTTCTGAGCACTATAAATTAGGTTATGTAAACCATATGGCTATACACAAGACTAAGACTTTTTTAGTATTTGTCGAGGTCTCTTTTCATAGCTTACAAAAGGAGGTCCTATTTTCAGGACAGCTAAGTGGTTCAATAGAGTGCTGGGACTGGAATCAGGAAGACTCATCTTCCTGAGAGCAAATCTGGCCTAAGACACTTACTAACTATGTGACCCTGAATAAGTCACTTAACCCTGTTTGCCTCAGTTCTCATCTGTAAAAATGAGCTGGTGAAGGAAATGGCAAACCACTCCAGTTTCTTTGCCAAAGGAAAAAAAAAGCCCACACGGTGTTACAGAGAGTCAGATACGGCTCAACAACATTTTCTAACTATCTTGTTGCATTCCCTTTATGTATACTATCAGCTCTACTTCCTGTCATTGTCAGTACACTTTTTGCAATAGTTTTTTATTACAAACTTAGTGAACGTCAGCAAATGCCATCATTTCAGTATATTGAAGTCGAGAAAAAAAAGCTCTTGAAGTTATGAACTATAACTTTTCAGTGTTCTTCTACCACCACACTTAATCTCATTGTTTTTCTTTATCTCATTTGGTCTGACCTATAGACCAGCTGATCTATCCTCTCTATTCTTTCACTTTCCCTCTCTCTCTGAATCCACTGGCATTTCATGACTATAATCTTTTTTTCTAGCCATGGTCTTTGATTATTTTATTTACACAAATATGTGTTCATAAGTTTCTGTCTTATCAATTTGGTTTTCAATCTCCCCAATTCCATGCCTGAAGGAAGAAGTTACTGAGTTTTTATTTATTTATTTTAAATTATTATTCCAGTTGTGTTTATTTTGCTATTTTTATAGAGACTCATTTTTACACATTTTTTGGTTTTAATTTATTGGTTTATACTTGATGTGCCCTGAAGCACTTTGATAACCTTGAGAAAGTCTCAGAAAATAGAATGAACCGAATCAAACAGAGATCCAGTCCAACATGAATTCTGCTAGCTGGCTGGTCAGGTCCTTTCCAACCCCCCACTTTGTATTGTGATTCTGTGATTCTACTTAATTACAAGAAAGAGCCAGTTAAATTTCAGTTGACCCCCATGAATTAGGATTCACTCTGTCAGATGTGGCTCTAGCCCTAAACCTGAAACATTTCAGGGTCTAAGAAGCCTGGGAGTACCAGATAAGTTAGGACCCAAGCATTTAGGTTCTTCTAGCCCAGCAACTCTCAAACTTTTTTGCTCCTAGGACCATTTTACAGTATTAAAATTTTTTGAGGATCTCCTGTTTATGTGGATTATGTCTATCAATATTTACCATATTAGAAATGCAGATGCTTGATATTATTATGATAAATAGTTTTGATCTCGAAGACCCTTTGAAAGGGTCTTATGAATCCTGGGACTGCACTTTGAGAAAAACTATTCTGGACCATACCATAATTATATTGCTGTTGTGTTGAAAGCAGTTGAAAAGCCCCTTCCCCTTCCTCTGAACCTCCTGCAGAGGAAGAACATCAAGATTTTCTTGTGGTTTCCAGGGTCCTTGGGAAGAGGGTGATTCAGTATTAGTCTGAGCTTCTAAAAGGCACTGCTAGGAGAAGTTGGCTTTCAAAACTGTAGGAAGTGAGGTTCTCTAGATACATGAATTACTAGAATACTAGATGACTCCAAAGTGAAATCCAAAGTTACTCAAAAGAGATTGCCATAGTAGAAAACCCAAATGGATGAAAGACCCACTTAATTTCAAATTATGACATTCATTAGATAGACCATGAAGTTAGTTCATCAGTACATGTATATCTTAGATTGGTACCGCAATGGAAGATGAGCTGAGCTTAGAATTGAGTAGTAGAAGGACTTGGAGCTTAATTGCATTGGGAAAATTACATAGTATTTTCAAAGATTCTAAGCTTCAGAAGTCCTTTGTTTTAATACCAATATTTTCTCAGTAAATATGTAGGCTGCAAATCAGTTATCGCAGAAAAATAAAATTTCATTTGACTCAGACACATTGTGAGCTTTACTACATTAATCGCAATGACTTGAGCATAAGAAGTATCACAAAAGGCATCATCATCATCAAGGGTATGTATTATTGGAAAAGATGGTAGTCCATCTGTGTGATGAATAGCTTCATTGTGGCACTGCTACTGAAATACATAAATGGATCCATTATCATGACCTATCTATACCTGCTCATCATGTGTCTTCCCATAAATTTCACACAACATTTCTACCCAGTGAGCTGGGGACCTTCCTCACTTCCTCTTGACATCTTGAAGAGACTAGTGGAGCTCACACACTGTCCACCACTGATCTTACCATGCAACCAGCCCATATGATTTTTGATTACATATTTCTTTCATGACATTTATTACTTATTCCTCCAGTGATTCCTATTTGTTATGTGTTGAAGTCTGCTCCCCACCACACATTTCTCCATTGCCCTCTGAGGATATTAATTTTTAATTCTTAAAAGAGACTGTTTTGTTCTGTGATTCACAGACATACAATACCTCCAATAGAATATTGTTATTTAAAATTGACTTTGGAGTTATTAAAGGAGTTTTGTAGTTTCCCAAAGCAATCCAGCTTCCTCCCTTTTTTCCTGTTTTATTCTAGGTCCAAATTGTTCTCCATTTGCAGTATCTATACAGATATACATTGATGAATTCTAAAAGTTGTCCAACTAACTGCATCATAATCAAAACAGTAGTTGTTCTTCACTTATTTGATTTTTCCTATAAAAATAAATGCCTAGTGAATTGAATTCTGTTGTTGGGTCAGAATCTTGGTTTAGATCTCTGCCAGGAAGCTCTGCAACATTCCAACTAGCATTCTGCCTGTCATCCACAAATGGAAGCATCCAGAGGACTGTTGTTAATATGGATAAAATATTAAAAGAATTAAAGAAAGACTGTTAGAATGTTGGGTAAACACTTCCTTCTCCCATGGACAGGATGTGCATAGAATGAGAAAGTGAGGTTGGGTTGCATCAGTGGAGGGAAGATGAGCGCTAATGAAACCACAGATCAACTGCAGTACAAGTACAAATGATGACCTATGGTTTTCTTAATCTTGAGGATAAAGTGATAATATGTGTAAAACACTTTGCAAACCATAACAAGGCAAATAAATGTTAGTTATTAAAGTCTACATGCACTTATTAAGCTCATACAGTGTTGCAGGCACTGTACAAACTGCTGGAGATACAAAGAAAGCCATTTCCCCCACCAAAAACAAAAGCCCAGTACCTGCTCTCAAGGAGCTCATAATCTAATGGGGAAGACAGCCAAGTACAAACAAGATATAAGCATGATAAAAGAGTTCCTGAGAATAAGGTCAGTGAAGGGGCACATGGAGATGGAAGAGGCCAGGAGGCGTCAATACCCATATTAGATGATTCCTCTCTTAGCTGTAAGCCGGGTGGAGCCAGTCTTGTACCTTTCCGATGAGGGGGAAGTGTGACAATATCAGCACAGTGAGGGGCTTTTGGGGTTTCCAGCTGGATGTTGTCTACCCTGGCATAGCTCAGCAATGATTAGCATTGCAACTATAGCCTGCAACCCTGATGATGTCTTTGACTTTAACTTTTAAAGTGGCAGCCTCCCATGCCAATCCCTTTCTACCTCCAGTGGGTGGGCACAGACAGCATTGGTATCCTTGAGTGTTCTACAGACCGTCAGCCCCATTGACCTTTCCCCCAATGTGCACACGTGCGCGTGCACGCACGCGCACACACACACACACAGAGTAAACCCACAGACTGCATTCTTTGCTATATGCACAAATGTGTACACACCAGCTCAGATGTACAAGCACATAGGCCATCACACATACATCCATACATGCAAAAGATATATACCTACATGAGCATTCCTATGTTTCCTCCCCCAACCCTGCTCAATATAATATTAAATTATATTGGAATAATTCTAACAGAGGGAATTACAGATAGACACTAAAATATTCATCTAATCCATGAGTTTATTAAAATGGAAACACTTACAAATGGACTAGTGGTGTTTTTATATAAGAGGAAAGAAAACAGAGTAAGCTACATTTTGAACAAGGGTGTTTTTCATTTGAGATCATGAAATCTGATGTTGAGGTGATCAAATCACACTTCAGAGTTGTTGTCTTCCCAATGTCTGACTTTAGCATCTCTGGTTAATTAAGAGAACCCCATTACAGAAGATTTTGCTGTAGAATGTTAAGGTTCTGCAGGCTGCTGTCCTTCCCCTTCTCCTCAGGGTCCATGTGTGCTCAGGTACCCACAATGAAAAGTAACTCCACTGACCTTTGACAACACTTTATCACTTTGTTTAATCTGCAGAATGACAGAGACTACATTTGATACTGTGCGACTGTGGTTGATAATCCTGCTCTGTGCTCTGAGGTTGGCTCTGATGCGCAATCACCTGCAAGCTTACCTGAACTTAGCCCAGAAGTGTGTGGATCAAATGAAGAAGGAGGCTGGACGAATAAGCACTGTTGATTTACAGAAAATGGTAAATATTTTGATGGAACTAGACAGTGTCCTTGTTATTAAAAAAACAGACTCAATTCACTTACAACACTAATCATATCTCACAAGTTGATTTTCTTCTCAGTATACACAAGAGAATTCAATTCACTAGGCATTTATTAAGTGATTTCTGTATGCCAAGTGCTGGGCGAGGCACTGGCAGTGCAAAGACAAAAGCTGAACATTCCCTGTTCACTCTGAACACTCCCTTAAGGAGTCTGCCTTCTATCAGGAGAAAACAGTAATGTACACAAATTATTAAATTACACACACACACACACACACACACTACAAAAGTCACTTTTGGGGAGGAGTAGACATCTGGGGAGATCAAGAAAGGCCTTTGATTGGGGGGAAAGGGTAGCATACCACTAAGGAGGGAGGGAAGATTAATCACCCTGTCCCAACTTATATCATCAAATGAGCTGAATAAAGGAAAAAGTAGAGAAAGCACCAACTTAACCAGATATCCTTCTCAGTCCTTACAGTTGCTAGAGCCTTCGCTTCTCAGATTATCTCCCATCTGCTCTGTACCTGCATATACCTATTTATGTACTTACACGTTCCCCAATGAGAAGAGAAGTTTCTTAAAGGGAGGGGTCATTTGCACTTTCTATGAATTTTCAACACTTAGCATAATTCCTGGCTCATAGTTGGTTGGTCGTTGTCCTTCATTCTCAGAGAAGACCTAAATGACAGTAAGCTGTTAAAGTCGTTACAATGCGTCTGACTGTGACTGATCAGACCAGTATGAGCTCAGAATGCTCTACCATAGGTCAAGCACAAATAGTACCCATGAATGTTTGGTGTGGATTCTCTAAATTTGCACTTCTCACATTTCTTTTGAGCTACTTCAGTTCTGCTTTGCTCATACTGCATGGCATCTTCTCTGATGAGGGCACGCCATGCGGGGTGGTCCTGTGCCAGTGTCTCGCATGTTACAGATTTAGTTCCAAAGTTGTCAGGAGAGACCTTAACAGTGTCCTCGTATCCCTTCTTTTGACCACCGTGTGAGCACTTGTTTCACTCATTGGTGACTGGGAAAGCATGAGAGCATCGTCCATTATCCAGAACCTGGGCAAACATGTTGTGAAATTGACGTACAATACTGATGAACTTCTCCAGGCAGCCAAATTTTGACTCTGGCAAGAATTTTGCCAGCAGTGACGAAAAAGAGACCCCCTCTGTGATTGTCACAGGGCAGTCTATTTCCTTTACCGAGATGGACATCCTTGTCTAGAGAGGCATCCTTGAATTCCTGAGGGATAACCTCTTGCCATATAACCCAGAAAATTTCAGTCAGTTTTTGCGTGAGCAATGGACCCCCCCCACACACACACACCTAGTAAGTCTCAGCTGGAATAGAGTCAACACCAGGTGCTTTGCCACATGAAAGGAGCCTAATGGCATTCAAAACCTCTTCTTCAGTTGGAACTTCAGCTAGGAAGGGATTGACTTCAACCTGAGGTAAACAGTCTGAGGCTTCAGCATTGATTGATGGTGATCTGTTGAGAACACTAGGGAAGTGTTCACACAGTAAGAGCTTAGTAAAATACTTACTGATTGTCAATTAATTGAGATGTTGTTTGTAAGGGAGATAGAATAGTCCAAAATTAAGTCATGAGAAAACCAAACAGCAGACAGCAGCATCTCCAAAGTCATCTTGCTGTATCGATCACAGAACAGGAAGTTAAGAATCTGGTCTTATCTCAAGCATGAGTGTTTTACCCAGTTGAAACTGCTGTGAGTGTGGCAGCCTCAGAAAGAAGCAGTCTCAGAATCTCTATATTTTACTGTTGTTGACAACAGGTTGATTCCATGATGTTGCGTCCTTTAGGCTAGAACCAGTTCCCAAATACTCAACTCCACTGGGGACTTTTTCAGTAAATAAGGACTTATTATTTGGTAATTCTCAAAACTAAAGTCATAAACGAAAATCATAACTTGATCTGTATGCTAGGTAGTAGAAAAATAAAAAGCTTCCATTATTGTTCCTAGTTCCACCTTCCCTGGTTTTAAGTGTCTCAAGATAGAGAACCTTTTAACACTATGCAGAATAGGTCTTTATCCAGTCTTTCTGACTTACAGAGTAAGAAATATTTGTTTTTAGGGTTAGAATTATACACACACACACACACACACACACACACACACACACGGTTTATGGTGAGAAACCCAAAGAAGAAAAAATGTGAGCAATACAGTTTCTCACCTCATGGTAGAAACAAAAAGAGTGAGCTACTCTCCATTTTTGAGTTTCATAGTTTCCCCATCTACCCCTATTAACGGTTATATGAATCCTGTACCCTTTTTTTTTTCTTTCCCGTAGTCCCATCTTAATCACGATTTGACCATAAGGAGTACTTGGGTTAATTTCCAAATATCAAGTACACCTACTCCATTAACATGGCTTTTCAGAGATGTCAACATAAGGGATTTTTCACCTCATTTTCTGTTGTTTCCATAAGAAAAACAATGAGTTTTGTCTCCATAAGAAAAGCAATAAGTGAGTTTTAAAAGTAACTTTTTATATATTTTTAAAAGCCAATACAAGAATCTGTGATCCTTTTGATCTTTTTTGAAATGCAATATTTGAAGCAATTGTAATATTGTGAAAATTTGTAAGTTTAGTGTGATAGTTGCATTAAGGTTCTCTGCATCATCAGTCACTCAAGATTTTTGCTGTTTTCAGGTGGCGAGAGTGTTTTATTACCTTTGTGTAATCGCACTGCAGTACGTGGCACCTCTGGTCATGCTGCTCCACACAACCCTGCTTTTGAAAACACTAGGTACGCATGACACAGCCATGATTTTTGTATTCACGCTAGCTATGTTGGATTAATAACACACTGACATGGAAATATGGAGAGTATGAGTGCCCTCAAGCACCCATTTCAAAAAACTCTGTATTCTAAAAAGCAGGAATAACTGTTAGCATAAAAAATTGTTTCATCTACTTGTCTTTGAAAACTCAAGATCATAAAGTTTTGAAGTTTCATGCCTAACTTCTTATTCTCCATGCTTTGTGTTTATATCTTTAAGAGGATTATCATCCTATTAATTCTTCAGTTTTAAATGACTTCATTGGTCATTATTGGTCACTGTTACATATTATTCATCTTAATTTGTATGTAGCAAGAGGATGGATCTCTTAAAAACTCGTTACTATATTTAAGTTGCTATTGATGTTTTAAAAGTTAAACAACTTTCCACCAGGTGGAATACTGAGTTACACTATACGGAATGTTTATTTGAACTAAGTTAGCTTTATTGTCTCTCATTTGTACACTTCGTTCTAGGCAATTCCTGATGAGAGGATTAGAATTCAGCACTAAAAAGTGTGAAGTCTCCCTAGTGTTGTGTCCCCTTGGCTTTGCTGATTAGATTGATAACCTGTTATCTGATGGGTTCATCAGGAGGGGTGTTTGGAGAGACCAAAAGAAGCAAATGAGTGCTGTGTGAATGGATTTCATAGATAACCTGAGAAACCGAGAGATACAATATAGAGAACAGATAGTTGTAAATACAAAACTCTTGAGTGTATGATGAAAACTTTCCGAAAGTTGTTATTAGCTGCTAGCATTGACTTTGCTAATTATTTCTTTTTAAAAATGTTACTGTGATATTGAGAGCTTATCATAGAATAGTGAGGACTTTTAAGAAGCCACCTAATCTATCCTCCGCCTTGCATGTTACAGCTAAAGCTGTGGTTGGTTATTAACTCTGAAGAGTCGTAGTTTTCTGGTCAGTCAGCAAGACCCAGCTTCTAGTCCCACTTCTGATGCATACTAGCTAGTTTACTCTGGTTAAGTCACTTAATGTACTATGATCCTCCTTTTTTGGCATCTGTGAAATTGGGAGGGATTGTCTTCGGTGACTATTTTATAGGCTTGTTATGAAGGCCAAATAAAATAATAAATGCATGTTGTTTTTTAAGCCATAAAATATTATAAATGTTAGTAATCATCATCATCATCATTATTATTGTAGCCATGCTCGTCATTAAGAAAATACATTTTTTCATTATCTTACCATATTTTAGTTTCCAGAGGATTATAGATTCAGAACTGACCTCAGAGGTCATCCAAGTCCAGTCCCCTCATTTTATAAATGAAGAAATTGAAAAGGTTTCAGGAATTTAAAAAGATGAAGTGACTGGCCCCATGTTGATTAGAAATCAATTCAGAAATTTTTTTGTGTGTGTTTTACTTCCGAGGTCATATTGTATGTAGTCTTGTCATTTACTCAGGTTCAGTGACAATTTTTATTAAGGGAATGTTACTGATTGCTCTTTGTTTTAATTTTTTATTCCACATCAAGTAATAATCTGATGGTCTGGTAATTTTTGTTGTTCTTAATTGCAAAGTTTGGCTAGAGAATTTTGACATTCATGTCTCACTTGAAAAATCAAGGCTTTTTGAACCTGTTCCCATTCATGTTTCATTTGTTAACTTGGATTTTACAGGTAATCATTCCTGGGGGATTTATTCCGAGTTTAGCTCTGACTCCCTAGTGGAGAGCCATCCATTCTCTGGTTCTGTTCATTCTGAATTACCATCTACTGATGAGAAAATGAAGGTAACCGTTACCCAGATCACAATGGCACTGGGCGGCCTAAAGACCATCTTTACTCCTCTGCTTTTCCGAGGACTCTTGTCCTTTCTGACCTGGTGGATTGCTGCTTGCCTCTTTGCCACAAGCCTTTTTGGACTTTTCTATCACCAGTACCTAACTGTGGCATGAACTAAACAGCTAACAAAGACAACAACAGCAAAAGGTATTGAAGGCAACCTAGTTTGGAGTCCATGTGCCTTTGAAGAAAGGGCTGAGGAAAATCAGAAGAAAGCAGAAAGACTGAAGAAAAATACATATCATCCAAGTAGTTTGTTTTTTTTAATGTTTCCTCTGTCTTCTCAGGGTGAATTGATGTTTTAATGTTTAAAATCACAAGTTGATTTGTTAATTTTGTTATGTAAATAGTAGGTGAGTAACTATTGAATCGTGGCAGTGGAACTGTGACTTTTCTTTACATAGATAAATATATGTACACATGTATATGCATATATGTATGTGTGTATGTGTATGTATGTATGTGTGTATATACATATATACATACACATTTACTGATGTAAGAGGGCTATTTAAATGCTTGTGATACCTTGGTTTACAGTAATATCCAATTGTCCTCGAAATTTCATTTGTGACTTCAGTCATTGTCTGATACCTTTTAATGGTGTTAAGGTACTGGTAATATTAATGGTGGCTGCCTAGAGAACAATCTTGAAACTGAGCCATACTTGGGGGGAGACAAGGGAGAAAAAGTAAACTTCTGTTGGAACTGTATTAGTTGCTCTTCCAAATGAATAACAGCAACTACAACAAATCCAACAGGAAAGAAGAAACAGCTGCTGTATATTACAGCAAAGGAAGCTGTAGTGTATTTTAATTTAATGGGGATATAAGTGCATAATATCAGCAAGCATTGCTGCCTGAGCATAGCAGGAATTATTTTAAAATGTACGTTGTCAAAAAAAAAGTACATTGTCTCAATCTCTGCAGTTCTTTACAACAACAACAACAACAAACAGCAAATGGCCATGTGAACAATTGCTTTTAGCAGCTTGCTGCTAAGATTGGATCTCACAAATTTGGGTGGGCCTCAACTTCTGTTTCTTTTTTTATATTATTGGACAAAATCATCTTAAAATACCATAAAAATATTTATCAACAATCATCAAACTTTTAAAAATACTTTTTAGTCCTGCTGAATGCATATATGTATTGTACATATTATATATTGAGTATATAATATATTGGAGCCATAAAAGATGAACATAGAGAAATATTATTTTAAGTTGCTAATTGTATATCAAAAGGTGATTGAATAGAGGTGCATATGTGTCTAGAAGTTTCAGGCTTTTTGAATGAAAATTAAAAGTCATTTTTGAAAGTTCAGTAGAAAGCTGTTGATTTGTACTTCCTTAGGATACTTTAGATTCTTTTTTTTTTAAGTTTTTTTTGGTTAGGCAGTGGGGTTAAGTGACTTGCCCAGGGTCACACAGCTAGGAAGTATTATCTGTCTGAGGCCGGATTTGAACTCAGGTCCTCCTGAATCCAGGGCCGGTGCTCTATCCACTGCGCCACCTAGCTGCCCTGACACTTTAGATTCTTAAAAGTGTTTGGCACTTCTGAGTTGGAAACTCCACTCATATTGTAATTCTTACTCTGTCATTTCTTATGTTCCCCAGAGTAAAAGCTTCAGAAACCTTTATATTATGACCAATAATAAAAATTTTCATTTGCATCTTTATAAATCAAATCTTCCTAAAAGAAATGAATAGGACTTTTAAAAATGGCTTATCCTGTAGTTTCAGAAGCAAGAAATAACCAGATATTTGATATACATTTTAGTTCAGTTAGGTTGTTTTCTAATATTTACATACAAACATATGAACGTAATGAATTTGTGGGTTTAAAACTTAAAATTCAGTTAGGAACTTAAAGATTTACATAAGGTGTAACTGTAAAGTAATGTGGTTTATTTTTAAAAGAACTTTAAAAGAACTTAGATCTGAATGAGAGTTGTTGCTTCAAGGAGCCGCCAAGGCAGATCTATATCTATTCCAACAATGCTACCACTGCTCAGATTATTTCTGTAGTTCCTTTTTTGGGAATAGTCTTCAGCACCTGTAGTACTAATCTTTTTAATATTCTCAGTGGTGTCAAAGTTTCGCCTTTATGAGTGTCTTTGATTTTGGAAATAGCCAAAGATCATTTGGAGTTAAGCCTGATAAATAAAATGCGTGAACAACCCTACGCGATACTATTTGAGTTCACAATAAGATATGACAAAATAAGTAGTGAAATTGATTTACCTGTGTATATTATAAAGTGCTGTTGAAATGAGTTTCCACCGAAGAGTTCCAAAATTGTTCTTTGAGGGGTATCAGTATTTGATGACATAAGAGTGTAGCCTCTCAAGGTTATACAAAAGGAACATTTATTTAGATGTATAACTTCTCATATTTGGTAAAATGTCAGCCCTGTTATTTTATAGTCATGTCTCATATCTGCCTTTCTAAATGTCATTATGCATTTAGAGATAATTCCTTGTTGAACTAAACTGTCATATTTATAGTGTGTGTATTTGTGCATGCACGTATGTTGTGTGTGTGTGTAAATAAGGAAATGTGTTTGAATAGTTTTGAATTAAGTGAGCATAAGTAGAATTTGTTGTTGCTTTTACAATTTTAAATTCTTACCAAAGGCACTACTCTTCAATGTTTTAAAATCTGTACTATGGAATAAAATACAGAAAGAAGTTAGGATCTATTCATAAATTGAAAGAAACTACATTTCATATAACTTCCTCATTATTTCAGATGGATACTTGTAATTCTAAAAATATACCAGTGGTTTGTTTTAAAACCTATTTTGCATCGAGTTTCTAAGCCACAAATTTTGCACACTGTGCAAATTACTTCACATGATAGATGTCTCTTCAGTTCTAGAATAAATTCTTGAGGAAGAGTATTTTGAGAGTAGATTAAGGATAATGATTGCTAACTAGAAACTTTAAGGGCTTGTAGGTAGCAGTATAGCCTTGTGGGTGCAAGTGTGTGTGTGTGTGTGTGTGTGTGTGTGTGTGTGTGTGTGTGTGTGTGTGTGTGTGTGTGTGTGTGTGTGTCTTGGTGCGTCAGAGTTAACCAGATTTTTTTATTTCTGGAGCATTGCTTGTTTGATTATCTCAAAACTTAAACAGTAGAGATAATACAAACTATTAGATTATTCAAAATTTCTTGATTTTCTTTGCCTTTTTTTAAACTTCTGCCAGACTTTTTTCTCACTGTTACATGCTGAGTGGGTAAATTATTTTTTAAGTTACTTAATTGTGTGCCCCATATTGAGTAGAAACACTTAAAATCCTGCATTGTATGATTTAATGAAATTTTCCCCACAATTGTCATCCAAAAAAATTGTGACAAATACATGACAGACATCCATATGAAGGGAAAATGATCCGTTTTTCATTTCTGATATAAATCAACAATAAAATGATTAGCAGCATTTCTCCTTGGGTTATAAATTCAGAAAAAAAATTAATGAAATTGATAGGTCCAGGAAAAAGAAAATAGTATTCATTATGATGCTATAATTATGATACAAAAGAATAGATTTTGTTCTTGTAAAAGAAAGGTTAAATTCTCTACTTCTAAATATAGAATTTTAACATTCTCTGAAATCATCCAGTCTTTCAATGTGGTAGAGTTTCTGACACCGTCTCATAATTGAAACTTTTCTGTTATGGTTTGTAGCTCTGTTCAGCAAAGTAAAACTAAGTGATTTTTGAATGTGGATCATCCAGTGTCTTCATGGAGCTTTAGCTGGCTTAAAGAATCAGATCTGACCATACTTATGATCCCAGTGCTTGAACTCAGTCTCAAATAGTCAACACAATTGCAGCTTCTCACTCCCACTCATCTCATTATATCTGTACCCTGGCTTTATAACTGAGCTAGTCATACACCTGGAGAATGGTGATGTGGATGCGGAGCATGGTCATAAAGTGTCAATCTTTCCTTTTCTTTAAAGAAATCAGTGGTTTCCCTTTATTCTTGCTTGTTTCTGTCCTTTAAAAAAAAAGAGGATGGAAGTAATTTTTGTGTATTTTGTTTGATCCAGCTGTTCTCCTTACTACAAATTATTTTTAAGTTGGGTGGGCCTGAGAGAGAGAGAGAGAGCACCCTTAGAAGGCAAGAAACTAGATAGGCTCTGTGTGACCTTCCTTGGGAAAGATGTTGATTCTTTTGGCCTCTGTTCCGTGATGTGCAGACTAAGGAGAATGGAGTAAATTATCTCTAAGGTCCCTTCTGGAATGCTCTAACACTCCAAGTCTGATATGAGTTTATCTGGTTTGATATTAACTTAAAGGAATATATACATATAATATTACTTTATATTTAGAGATGTCTGTTGACCATATTTTTTTTTTTTGGCTAGGCAATGGGGTTAAGTGACTTGCCCAAGGTCACACAGCTAGTAAGTGTTATGTGTCTGAGGTCAAATTTGAACTCAGGTCCTCCTGAATCCAGGGCCAGTGCTCTATCCACTATGCCACCTAGCTGCCCCGACCATATTTCTTAATGAACATTTATTGAGTACTAATTGAAAATGATGATTATACCAAACTTCTTATCGTAAGAAGTACTTTTTACCAAAAATAATTATTTTGGGATAATCTGAAATTGCAGTTTGCCATTTGTATTAAGTACATAATCACAGGGTTTAGCTGATAGTGGAAGAAATGGCTAATGGAGAAGACAACAGACATGTTTATATTAATTTACCATATTGTTGAACAAAAATATATATTCTTCCCATGTGCCCCCCCCAAAAAAAGGGCAGATATTTTAAAATAACAAAAATATAACAGATTTAACCTCTAGAATACATTTTTGCTGGATCCCTTTCAGTTTAATACAGCTAACATTTATTAAGCACCTGTTAGGTGCACTGTGATAAGCACTAGGGATAAAAAAGAAACAAAAATACTTCTGCCCTCATGGGGCTTACATTCTTCTGGGAGTTACCACAAGGACACAGATTTGTGTTTATATCCTCTGCACCTAACTTGGTGCTTTGCACTTAATAAATATTTAACAAATGTTGATTGATTGATTAAATAAGGTAATTGAAGGAGTAAAGAGATAGCACTTCCTACTGGGTTGATTAGGAAAAGCTTTATGGATGAGGTAGTACCTGACTTGAGCTTTGTAAAAAGCTAAGAATTGATTCTTAGAGGCCTGTCATATGCTGTTCAGGTTAATTGAAATGCTATTGAAGCTTTTGTCATGCATATTTGGGTTGCATGTTTGGAACTGTGTAACATGACTTTGGCAAAAACAAATCCTTTGTCTCCTTTTCTTCAAGATAATCTCTTATCAGACAAATTAGCATGTGCCTTTTAGAAAGGAATCTATGCCAATAAGGAAGTCTGAGACAAGACAACTTCTAGGCCATGTTTACTTTCCAAATTCATTCAGTTCAGCAAACATATTAAGCACTTACTGTGTTTTAGGTGTTAAGGATGCCAAAGATGAAAAAAAGAATCAGCTCCTGCTTTCAAGGAACTTACATTCTGCATGGTTATTGAGAAGATTTTTCAGTTAAAGTAGAGGATTTGAAATTAGAAAATTTTGCCTCAGTTAAAATGGTTCAAATGACAGTAAACACTCTGGTATGGGAGTCTAGGGAAATCAGCGTGAGGGAATTAATTTCCAGTTTTCTCAAGCATTAACAAAATCCTTATAGTATTGTATACCATTCGTGAATTTTTTCCAAGGGAGGGAGTATCCTTAAGGTTTTGTTTTTACTTTTAAAGAAAAATATGATGCTTTTTTGATAGTCATAGAGGAAGAAATTAATATTGCTTGCTTTCCCCTATCACTTAGCCATGGCTTAGCTATCTCTAGATACCTGCTTCAGCAAGTAGCTACTGGTGCCAGTAGTCACCTTCTACAGTCACTGAGTCATACCAATGAAACTGTCTTTTCTTTCTCTCCCCCTCCCCCCCTTTCTCTTTTTACTGTGAAACACAGTGGTTCCTGTATTCTTGTCAGAATCCTTAGTTGCAGCAAGTCAAAGAGGTCACAGACTGGGAAATCTGATTCTGAAATTTTCTTGACCTCCTCCAGAAACTTCCTCATTCTACCAATTGTCTGCTAGTAGAGCTATAGGTTTTCACGGAAGTAATTAGAAGATTCGGGGCAGGGGTGGGCCGAGTTTGGATTCAGTCAAAGTACTACACTTGAGGACCTAGAGGGCTACTCATGGCCTCAAGGCCACAGGTTCCCCACCCCTGGAGTATATTAGTTGGTGGACAAACCTAAACTCCTATTTTCTTGTAAGCCTAGAGATCCTGATATGGATGCCCAGGGAAGTGATAACTGACATTTTTTCATACACAAGTTGAAACGTATCAGCTTATCTACCCTTAAAATACATATACATATATATATATATATATATATATATATATATATAAATCTCTATCACTCAAAAGA